TGGAGCTTTTTTTTTTAAAACACTAGCCCATGCTGTATCAGACAGTTCTCTACTTCCAATAACAACCATAAAAAAAAAAAATCAAGAAGGCTTTATTTAGCACAGATTATCACACAAGGTAAGTAGTTGCTAAATAAAACTTGCATGGTTATTTTAAAGAAAATGATTTCTATGCTAAGAAAATTTGTTTATACTCTACAGGTACCTAAAAGATTCCAAAGTGCACAATCACCACGGCTGGATTCCTATATGGGTTACAGCTCTCAATATGTTCCCCAATCAGAGGATTCAATTAAGATTTCAAACGGAAAAAATGAGGCAGATATTTGATTTATATTTATATCACCTTTTAAAGATGGCTTTATGATCTTTAAGTGTTTTAAGTAATTAAAATTATTCCTTCTTCTAATACTGACTAAACTGAGAAATACAGACAATATTAGAAAAATTTCAGTAAGTTATTGATAGGCCTGTTTCTCAAGAATCTCTTTCTCAAAAACTTTCACTGGTTCCCTGGAAACAGTAGAATAAAGTTTGAACACCTCGACCTAGCATTCAAGGTCTAAGTCCTACTCTACCTATGCACATTAACCTCTGTTAACTCATCAGAAATCTCATGCTTAAGCCAGGGAACTGTATTTACTGTCTCCTGAAAGTCAGTCTCTGTCTTGACTTCAAGCCTTTGTTACCCCAGGTTCTTTTCCCTTCTAAAATATGCCTTCCCCTTTCCTCTCTGCCTATTGTTTAGGGCAGTGATTCCTCACTCTTTTTCCCCTTTAATCTAATAACCTTACGAAAATCAGATGAAAGCTACAGACCTGCTTCCCATATAAACGCACATATGAAACTTTGCATATAATTTCAGGAAATTCACAGATCCAGGAACCCCAAGTAAAAACTTCTCTAGGAGGAAGTAGCTGTAGATATGCTGATTGTAAGAGGGTGGACATATATGCCCACTTCTCTAAACCTGTAAACTCTGAGAGATTACCCTGAGTTTAGAGAGGGTGGGAAAATGTGCAAAGGCTCCATGGAAAAAGTAGAGGTTAAGTTGAGCCTTGAAGAACAGACAGGATTTATACATGCAGAGCTTTTAGAAGGGCATTCCAGCAAAAGGATAATGCAAGAGTGGAGAAGCACGCTGAATCTATACAGAAACTAGTTGATATGTGAGTTCTCTCCTTACCCAGGAGCATACACAGCACTTACCACTCTGTGTTATAATTATCTGTTGATGTACCTATTTTTCTTACTGGTAGGTATGCACTAAGCATCTAACAGTGTCACATTCATAAACTGTATGCAAAAAAAAAAAGCTGCTTGAATAAATGTTGAAAGGTAAAACAATAGATTGGATAATAGAAAGCTTATGAAGTCACACGATTTTGGGAAATGTGTTTCAAAATTTTCAGAGTTGTTTCAGATCATTAGAACTCATGTACATTAACCAACATGTTAAAAATGTATTATCTAACGCTTTTCATTAGAGCAGCTCCCTTTAGGACTGCTATCAGTCAATACTGTTATTTCAGTTTCTACAATTACTTACACTTAATGAAACTGCTCTGCCTTAAGATATTCTAGAGTCAACACTTTCCCAAAATTCATACTGATCTTGTTCTAACTCATCTGAATTAATGTACTTATAAAAATAATTTTAAATGTTTAAAAAATGTATATCATATGCTTAAAAGAATAAATGAATACACAGAGAATAACAATCTATAAAACTTTTGGTCAGGCTGAACTTTTCTATTTTGACAGAAAGCAATTTATAATAAATGAGATGCTATACCTTGATTATAGCTGTTGGTATATGAAAATGCTGATGAGCCTATGGAATTTGCACACATGAATAAATAAAGCATCAAATTATTCTGACGAGAACTACTGAAGGCAAAAAAGTCCTTCATCCATTGTTTAAAAAAAAAAAAAAAAAACCCTCCACATTCTGCCAGGAACAGAACCTAAAAGAAAAACAAATGGCCTGGACAGCCAATGTCCCCACCTCCTATTGACACATCCTAACAGATCACTTACCGTCGGGATAGCAGTGGTGCAGCTAACTCTTCTGAGCCGTCTCTGCATCAGGTCATGCTCCATACCGTTAACTTCAGCCTTCAACCGCTCTAGCTCCTCTTTCTCAAGTTTCAATTGCTTTGCTAACCTCTCCATCCTTGCTCGCTGATGTAACAGCAAGGCTATGGCATTACAGATAAAGTCATTGCAGAGAACAACACTGAGTAAGTGACTGGAAAATTTCTATATGCATTGCTAATGTATAGAAGACTCATCCAACTTGGGGTTGGCATTTACTCTCACGCCTTTCCAATGCTATTCTGCCTCCATATCTGTTTTAATTTAGCTCTTTTAACTGCTACCAAAGTGACATCACCTGTATATCCCACTGTTCTGTCATCTGTAGTTTCCCTAAGACTCTCTTTATATTTGTGTACGTGTTTTAAACAGGCTCAGTACCAGACATATTGAATTACAATTATAATTATGCCCCTTCTTACATATTAAAAGAATACAAAATTCTCAGGTACCTTGAAACAATCTGAATAGACTCTTAAAAAACCCTATTCTCCTTTATGTTTAATTTAATTATTATTAGCTAATCCAACAATGTTCTTCATTACTAATTCCACTTCTTATATATTATTTATACATAAGTTTTGGGCTATCCT